AGGTCATGCCATGACCCAAATGACAAATCGACACCATTTTTTAAACCCCACATCTGCTCTCCCGTGAATTTCCGGGAGGCACGAAAGATCTCCTTTTAAAAGTGTCCAATCGTCCGATCCTGATCAAATATGTGTGTTCGTAGGCCTGTTCTGGTATTGCTTTATCTGCCAAGACAGACAAACTTGAGAAAAATCGAGTGATTGTACCTTTTTTGAAGGTCTCTAACCAACTTGTCTGAAATTCACCGGAGAACAAATGTGGGGTTTAAAAAAAAGGTGTCGAAATATCCAATATCTTGCGTTGGCTATGCCAGTAGCGGCGGAACAGGAGGGGGCACTGCATGGACTTTTGGTCCCATTCTTTTCATGCAACGCCCACAGCGCTAATGTTAAAATGCCAAAATCAAAGGGGCACGGTACCCCGGTGCCCTCCCCGTTCCGCCGCCTATGGGCTATGGGTCTTGTGAGCTTTTGACACCTTGATTTCGGCCTTTTTGCCAATCTTACCTCCCACCTACCATGTAACATGTTGTTCGACGATGTACCGATGTCAAGGTCAGGGTCAAGTTCAACCTAGGTCATCTACAAACATTGCTTTTTAGGCAAGCTGAATTTACTTTTCGTGAAGTTTCATCGACTGTATTTTTGATAAAAGCTTCTCATTTCATGATCTCATGTAATACCTATGGACACATAAACAATCGGTGCACACATCAGTACCTACCTACCTATACACACAGACACACACATACATACAAACACATATCATTGACCTAACTTGACCTGAAATGACCTCAGCAGCAAAAACTTGGTCGGATAGTGTGACAAAGAGGTTCTTGCTGGCTTGGCACCACAATTCGGCATAGTCATCGGTGTATGATGAGCAGCGCACTTGATATCCAACGGTGACCCAAAACAGCAACATTTTTTTTTTTAGTTTGGCCTCACCTGGAAGGTCAATGACTGACCTGAGAAGGTAAAACTGGGTATCATTGGATTTGTCTCTTCCCAGAGAATCTTTTTGGTCTTAACCGCGAAGCTCTTTCTCCAACAGGAACGAAATGGCGCGGCGGGGGGTGGCAACCACCCCCATGTGCGCACCCCATGCGCGTTCTAGGATGGGAAAATGGCATGTGCGGGCGAGGGGGGAGGGCACTGCCGACTTTTGGTCCCATTCTTTCCATGCATCGCCCATAGGGCTAATGTTAAAATGCCAAAATCAAAGGGGGGCACGGTGCTCCGGTGCCCTCCCCGTTCCGCTGCCTATGAGGCCGGCCTCCGTGACCTCGCCAAGGTCGCGTGAATTACTTGTCATGACGTCGCAAGCAGCCGAGACTGAGTCAGGCGAGCGTCATCAGTGAAACCTTCTACAGATAAAGTCATAAATCGCAAAAACTAAAAAAAAATGCACGAATAACCAGTGCGTACACGAACCTGCCCCACAACGTTATTTGTGATATATTTCAAAACTTCTTGTTGAAAAAATGACTTTTTTCAGTAAACGAGTTTGCAGCGGTTCCGTGAATAGAGTGAGCTTTTTCGCCCCCAATTTTAAAAAGCTGAACCACATTTCTGAGTCACGATCACGAAAATGGATGATATGAGATAAGTTTGAAAAACGCACGAATACCTATTACAAATTGGCGTTTTTATCCAGCATGACAGCAGGTACAGTGTTGTCTTCCACAGTGAACGAAGGGCGGCAATGATAAGGCCGAACTACACTATGCGTGACCGTCCAGGAAATTACGTGCGTGATCTGCAGATCCGTGATTGCGAGACTCCCTTGACATCGGCTTCTGCGATTTTCCAGAATTTCCGTGAATTATTGTACGCTGACATAATAATAACAAGTAATGTCTGGTTTCGCAACAAACGCTTAATTTTGCTATCTTTTATACTATGTTATCGATAAATAGTTTATTTTGTAAATAAAACATCAATAACACATGAAAATTAAAGAAACAATTATTATAATAGGCAACTGACGTAGGCAACTGGCAATTATAGGCAACTGACAATTATAGGCAATTATAGGCAACTGACGCCCTATCGCTGATTTTCGATAAAATGCGTTTTCCTCGGTGTTTTAACGCATTCCCTAGAATACCCGTGAACGGTGAAACATTTTATCTTTGACCTGACCTGTGACGTCATCGGTGACTCTGAGGTCAATGAAATTTGGTTTCCTTCGCCAAATTTGACAGGACTATCGAACGTTGTTTTAATTTTACGGATCCATCCAGTGGTTTCGGAGGTACGGGGGGAAATAATGCCCCCCCCCCCCCACCACTGCGTGGAAGGTGGCCGGGAGGCCCAACGCCTGCTGGGTTGGCTTCTGCTTTTTGAGCAGAATTGGACGTGTATTGCAATCTTGAAAGATCTATAGCTTCAATATTTTTGAAGTCATTAATTTCAAGCCAACTGAAACGTGTACATAAGGAGTTATGCTAGCTAAATATGGCAATTTTAACATTTTTTTTTGTGATTTTGAATTTATTTTATTTTGATTTTTTTTTTCTTAAAATGTAATTTGTGAAAAATGGGTACCCTTCGATTTTGCTCAAATTTAGCTATTGTCTTCCACTACACGTAAGGCATACGTGCTGAGAAAATTAGATTGGGCCAACGATAACTTTGGATGATATAGCAACGAGTAGTGCAACGTAGCACGGGCGGTGGAAGGGCCGGATTTCGCCAACCCCACCTATTTTTCGCCAATAACTCACGATATAACCCTCGCCCGCACATGGGGGGGGGGAGTGGTGGTTGCCCCCAGGGGTAGCCAGTAACAGTTGGTAGCATTAGGCCAAATGGGCGCTCAAAAACTACTACCCCATAGGGTTTCCATGTTAAATCGACCTTTTTCAAGCGAGCCTCACACGTAAGCTAAAGGATAAAGTGCCAATATTATTGTGGGGAAAGGTAGCCTCAAGCTTCCTCTACAACCTTTTTATCTAGCGTTTTTCGATGCAGAGGCCATAACAGGTCTAAAAAGCATTGGGCGCTGCCCGAGGTACCAAAAGCCCCTCCATGAGAGCACCAGTTCCTGCGCATGCGCACATCGCCTTAACCCTGTACTGGCGTACATTAGTGATACTGCTCACAGACTCGATCAGCCAATCAGCGTCCCCGATTACATTCATAGATGTCGCTAGCATCACGTAAATCCTGCCTGCGAACACATTTTAAGAATGAAACAGCTGCGCCATTTCCGCCTTCCATTGATTCCCTCCATCTTAGTATCAACTATACGCTTTTCAACTAACTTTAGACTTAGTTTTAAACTATGGTTAGTATGTTATTTCTGGTACATATAATTTAAAAATAACTACTTTATGAATTTGGCTTTACTCATCAGAATGGAATACTCTATTTTTTTTTCCATATTCAAAAAATATATTACCTACCATGTAACTCATCCAGGTAAAATGGGCGCTTTCCGCGTCGTTGGTGTACCCGTTGTTCTATATACCCTGGTTGCCCCTCCCCTCGTAGTCTTTATGCTCTGCACTCAACATTTTTAGAGCTAGAAGCCTGATTTTTCGTATAGCTGCTCCTCTATCCTTTCTTGATGTCCACTGAAAATTTCAAGTTTCTGTGGTTTTTGGTTTCGGAGATATGACCTTGTTTGGTCATGTGGTCATGGTCATGCCATGACCCAAATGACCAATTCTCAACATCTTGCGTTGGCTTTGGGCCTTGTGAGCTTTTGACACCTTGATTTCGGCCTTTTTTGCCAGTCCTACCTCCCACCTATCATGGAACATCAGGGATAAATGTGTTCATTAGCAATCTGTTCAGGGATAAATTAGTCAAATGAGGTCAAACTACGTTTTTGCCAGTAACTTGGCACACAATGAGGCTAGAGCCGAATCGAATGATATGCGATATGATGCTCTTTGGTTAACTTGTACAATTAATTTAAGCTCACTTAGAAGTTAGGAGAATTTTAAGCTCACTTAAACTGGTAACGAAGTATACCATTCGATGCGCACGGACGTGCTGAGTTCATTGTGCTCCAATTTGTAGCACGTCACCAATTTGGGGTAGTTTTCTGTCATATGATGCCAAAAATGGGGTTATCGATCTTAAATTTGGAATGTGATGTGATGTGATGACCTTAGGTTCCATATGATGTACAGGGTGGGGCAGTGAAATCTGGAATAATTTTGGGTCATCGCACGTGCACGTGATGTGAAAAATAACTGAATAAGGTCACCCAATTGAATTATCTGTCCGTCCGGCATGATTAGACACCAGTTTTGTTCCGACTATGTTGCCGCCTGACAGGGAGTACCAGCAGAGGTCAGCAGTGCTCTCTGCACTTCGCGCCGGGCAACGACCTGTCGATATTGTCAAGTTTCTGAATTTGCCGAAAAGTACAGTATAAGACAAACGAAGTCGCTATATGGGTTGTCAGGGTAACGAGGGATGCGGAGACAAGCAGACAGACCAGGAAAAACAGTTCTCTGACCCTCTCGTGCGAAAAAAAAAACGATGGTTCTGAGAGCGGTGTGAAGCGATGGGCATGTGATGCCGCCCTACTTCTTTGGTCCCGGAGAAGAGGTCACTGCTGATGTTTATCTGCACGCTCTGGGGCACAGGGTGAAGCCGTGGATAGAGCAGGTCACCGGAGGGGTGGATTGCGTGTTTCAACAAGACTCCGCACCTTTTCCTTTTTCCTTTCCTTTTTTCAAACTTTTTTTTTTTTGGGGGGGGGGTCAAAATATAACATTTTCAAAAACCCGAGATGACACTTTTACTTAGGCACTTGAAGAGAGTTTTTCCGTTTCGGATCCTTCCGCAACGGGGCGTGAGCTAATCTGCCTTTCATTGAAATATAATCGCCTTTTAGTTTTTATTATTTCTTCTGGAGGTAACAAGCACATGTTTTTAAATGTGCTCCTCTTACTCTTTGCTGCATTCTTAACTAGAAAGCTTGTCGTTTGGTTGTGCTGTGCTGTTGTATAGCTCTTAGGGATCTTGTCTGTTTACAGTGCTCAAGACGTAAGAAAGCTGGAGATTATCAGCCTCACTCCGGACCCGGTAGTTGTGCAGAAGTCGAGTGTTCCTCTCCTGCCCAAAAAAGCAAGGTGAGTGAATGACAGGCAAAAATGTCTCATATATATATTGTCTCATATGCCTATGTATTGATAATTTAGTTAATGTGAGTATTTTTCGCATTTTATTCTGGCTTGTGATTCACTGTGGCGTAGAAGATACGAAGGATTCTTCATGACTCAGAGTGGAAGATAAGGATGTCTTTTCCAAGCGTTTTTTTTTTTTTTTTTTTGGAACGCGCGCGGAGATCTTGCACGAGTGAGCCATGCGGGATCGTATATATTTCTAGGTAATTAAAATATTGCATTAATTTATATTTATTTATGCAACGGAATGGATCCTAGCTGTGATCTGACTTCAAAAGTTCAAAAGGAGACGGCAAGCGCCCCGACGGCATCAGCATATTTCCTTTCAAAAACGGTATGTGCCTAGCTTGGGATGCCACGTGCGTCAACACATACGCCGATAGCCATGTGCTGGCAGCCGCTACCTCAGCCGGAACAGCTGCACGCGAAGCTGAAGTCAAGAAGCGCAAGAAGTACGATGATCTCACGCAGCGCTTCCACTTTGAACCTCTGGCCTTCGAGACATCTGGAGCTTGTGGTCCTTCCACAAAGGTGTTTGTTCGGGAGCTCGATGCAAGTATCGCCTCCGTAACGGAAGACCGTCGAGAGACAGCCTGGCTTTGGCAGCGGCTGGCTCTGGCTGTTGTCAGAGGAAACGCGGCAAGCACCCTGCAAACGGCTGAACATGAGGTGCAGCAGAAGCAGCGGGAACAAGAGACTGGCACGTGGAGGGGACGGACAGTGCAAAACCGGCGCAACGGGCTGCGGGAGGAGCCGCTGGGCGTCGGTGAGCTGCACTGCGCGTTGCCTAGCCGCAACCCACTGGACGACCCCGAGCTGGCGCAGTACCTGAAGCCACGCGCCGCTCCCCGGTCAGTCGATGAGAGAGTGGCAACTACTCAGGAGCTGACCGACCAGCTCCTGAGCATCGCGCCCAGCTGCTCCGGAGTGTCGCCAGGGTCGCCGCGCCCCAATCGGCTGGCCACCTACACATCGCTGCTGGCTGAAATGAAACGGGACGCAGTGTCGGGGTACGTAGAGCCGGGTGGGTAGTATGGTAGCATCTGAATGAGTGAATGAGCAGCGTGTTTTTGTTTGTGTTTTTATGTCATGTTAAAGTTCATTACAAACAACTTCCAACAATGTTTCGACTAGTGCCCTTTGATCACTTGAACACTTGATTTTGGGTAAAGGCCCCGCGACTTTATCTTTGCCTCTCAGTTCGATGCAAAGATAACGAAATATTATCTTTCCGTCGCTGAGTAGTGCGAGATAAAAATATATCTGCATTGTAAACCCAATGACGAATTTAAGAACGATGGATATATGTAATAACCTTCCAGGCGGTTTTCCAACATATTATCTTTAACCTGACCTGTGACGTCATCGGTGACGTCGAGGTCAATGAAATTGGAATGCTATTGACAAATTTAACAGGGCTATCGAACGCCGTTTGAATTTTACGGATTCGTCCGGTAGTTTCGGAGATACGAGGAGGGCAAAACAAAAATGCCCCCCCTCCCTCACCGCGCAGAAGGTGGCCGGGAGGCCCACCGCCTGCCGGGTCAACTCTATATGACGATAATCATGATAACGGCTATAGTTGCCAGGATGACAATTTTCTTCTGGGACGAGACGACAACCTTTGTATCATTGTGAATGACTCGTTTTTTTTTTCTCGCAAAATTATGCGGATTTTATTTGTCACTTTTTCACTAATGCTAACATTTGGTCAAAATGTGTGAACAGTGCATCCTAAGACTGTCCTTAGCGTCACAAAGCCATGTTGACTCAGTCAATCTGTAAGTGGTCGGAACTCGGAACTTTGCGATCCATTGTAAACAATCCATGCATGCTCGTTTTCAGAAACATTGGGGAACAGATGAAGACTCAGCTGATGCCGGACGCCAGAAGCTCTCCCAAGAAGGCCTTCCAGACGCCGAAAAAATCCGAGCGAGATGTTGCAGGTAGACAATACCGCACATATCAGAGAACCAGCTGGAAGCTTTTGACTGGGTCCGAGAAACTGAAAGTTAACCTGCCAGGCGGTGGGGACGGGTATTTTTTTTTTTTGCCTCCGCCCTTTATTTTTTTTCTTAATATATCTCCAGAACCGCTGCGCCTGTCGTCACCAAACTTTCAGTACCCTCCCGTGCATAATTTTAACACATTGTGCCCAAAGTTTTTCCAAAGGCTATGATATGATTGGTCGGCCGCTAATAACGGCGGAGTGACGTCATTTCTGCCATTTTCGACCCAAAAAGGTTTCGCGGGAAGAGCTGTCAGGCCTATAGCTTTGATGATACGGAAAAATGTTCAAGGCATAACATGTGTAGAAATACCATGGCTATTATACCGATATATCGAAATTTGGAAAATTTGGGAATTTGACCCCCAAAAATTAAACAAATGGATGTAATAGCCAAAAATCCTAAAGGTTTTTCGATTTTCGAAAAAAACGGAATCTATGCAACAGCCTCTATTGTCTTCTATTCACACACCAAATTTTAGATCGATACCTCTTTTTTTTGGCTAAGTTATAGAAAAAGAACTGCTCAAAATTCATTACGTCAAATTTTCAAACTTAATTTTTAGCCATTCTAGACCAAGTAGCGCTAAACAAAGACAACCATTAGACTCTCCGTGACGAGCTGCATCGAATCAATACCCATTTTATGCAAAACTGTCAACTTTGAATTTTGACCTTTTTTGACCTGACATTGACCTGTCCTGACCTCCACCAGAAAGTGACCTCAACCGTAACTGATGGTCTTATAACCAACAACATTGAGTTGGAAATGAAAAATTGGTCAATAAAACATGCATCCCTGATCGCACAACCCTAGTAAAGTTGAGTTCATATGCTGACCCTTGGTGACCTGACCTGTGACCTGACCTAGTATTATCAGTGACCACTAATAGCAACATGTGTACAAGGCAACTGACGCCCCATCGCTGATTTTCTACAAAATGCGTTTTACTCGATGTTATAGCGCATTTCCTAGAAGACCCGTGAACGGTGAAACATTTTATCTTTGACCTGACCTTTGACGTCATCGGTGACCCCGAGGTCAATGAAATTGGATTTCTTTCGACAAATTTGACAGGTCTATCGAACGTCGTTTGAATTTTACGGATCCGTCCAGTAGTTTTGGAGATACGGGGGGAGAAAAAATCCCCCCGCGCGGAAGGTCGCCGGGAGGCCCACCGCCTGCCGGGCTTATGTCCGTTCTTGTTTGTACCCATCTGTATTTATTCAGCAGACCATTAACAGGAACTTTGTCTACTATAAAGGGAGTTGCGGGATCAGAATCAATAGTTGTGACTTGCGACGCACTCAAACGCATGTTTTCACATCCTCTCTATTTGCATTTGTGATTGATGTGGAAGGGGACACTGCAAGTTGGCGATATCGGCACTGCTTTAGGAAATATTGAGAGATGACGCAGGGTGTTTTTCTTCTTTCTCTAGCAGTGAGTTATCCCGCGCCGTGCTGGTGGTCTGAGTTTCCAATGTCGTTTCTGGGTTTCATGTCCCCCCCCGAATATTATTATTATCATTACGAATATTATCATTACGTCAGACATTTATTGGGTGTATGCTTGTTGCCAGGTGGAAGCAACGTGAAATCGAGGCGTAATCAGCAGCAGTCCAAGAACGACCTCTGCTTTTCGACGCCGGCAGAAAAGTTCAAAAATGAAGAATTTGACTTCGAGAAGAATTTGGCTCTGTTTGATAAACAGGTTGGTTTTCAGCCCATTCTTGCATCTGCTACCTAGAAATGTGTGTGTATGGAGGGGGGAGGGGTCCACCTCTCCTCATTTACTCTCTTTTAACACTTTTTCATTGTACGTTGACAGATTGTAGAGTTTATGTATACAACCGCAGCAAATAACGTAGACTTGCGTTACTAAAGATAACACAATAACGTTTGATTTCAAAGTATTTTAACCGTTATGGTTAAAATACCAACCAACATTAGAAAACGATACCGACGATACCTCACGCCTGAAACCTTTTTCTAATATCACCAAAAGCGAGAGAAAACACGATACCCAGTACCGCTTTCCACCCCTCCCCCCCCCCACGCTTCACCGGCCCTGGCCAAGTTTCTGCACCCATGCACCCAAAATGTTCCAGCCGCGGTTCCTACGCCCATGGCACCGGGTATTCCTGTATCACTGACGGCGCCACCGGGTAGGCCTGTATCACTGACGGCGGTACTTTGCCTGTATCACTGACGGCGGTACCGTGCCTGTATCACTGACGGCGGCGCCGGGCAGACCTGTAGCACTGACGGCGGCGCCGGGTAGGCCTGTATCACTGACGGCGGCGCCGGGCAGACCTGTATCACTGACGCTGGCGGCGCGCGCAGGCCGTGTTTGAGGAGATCGACAGCAGCCAGCAGCCGGACGTGGTGCGACTGGTAGACACGAACCGGCGCCGCGGCGGCCGCACAGAGGCCAAGTACCGGCACGACCAGAACGTGCTACACTCGGCGCCGGTGCGCTACAACCGCATCGCCGTGCCGGAGACGCCAGAGGTCGAGTATGTCACAGGTGAGCGGCCGGCCGGGCGGGGCAGCGGCGGCGGCCGACGGGACACGGGGAGCGGCAGTTCCAGGCTCGGAGTGCGGCTTACGTCAGCCGGTTAGGTGGGCGAATGGCTGGATAGTTGATGTGTGTTGATGTCGTTGATGACGTTTCGGGGAACGTGGATGGTGAATGAGCGCACCGGCATTCACAACACAGCGGTATTGACCGGTATTTCCACTCGTGGCTCACCTCCGTTGGCGTGTTATCAGGCATACTTTTTGTGAAATACCAGGTACGGCCCTCCATGTATTAAGTGGTTGGTTGCTAACATCACAATAATCGATCTGTATTGATGAATACATCTAATGGCTGTTGAAAACCATTACCGAAGTGTTGGCACGAGCCATCTTCTCATTTCTATCGAGTCATTTCACATCGGCTAACCAACCACTCTATTGCTGGAGGGCCGTACCTGAGTAACTGAGTGAGTGAAACAATATCGTTGATAGGACCAGTTGTAAACAGCGTGCTTGTCGCCTGTCACGGGACTGCGGTCTCTCGGAAACCACCGTCGGTACTCCTTTCCGCCGTCGGACGGTGCACTCTGTGACCTGAGTGGGTAGTATTTATCAGAAGGGTAGCTGGGACCTGCTCCGACATGTGTGTGCCAGGCACGGGCCTTTGCCCTGCCGTGACCCGCCCTGTTCTGACCTGCCGCGCCTGTACCGCCAGACACCGGCCTGGTAGTGCCCCGCCCGCTCTGACCTGCCGCGCCTGTACCGCCAGACAGGGGTTTGGTAGTGCCCCGCCCGCTCTGACCTGCCGCGCCTGTACCGCCAGACACCGGCCTGGTGGTGCCCTCGGTGACGTCTCGGGCGCGAGACACGCTGCTGCAGGCGGCGCAGCGGCACGGCCTCACCATCGGCCGCCAGCAGGAGATGCTGGGCCGCGGCTGCACGGAAATGGCGCTCCAGCTGGTCGGCAGTCACGCCAGGTGAGCCAACTGCACCCCGGGCTACTTCAGTCAACAATGGCCATGGCCGCTATTCGCTAACGATGGTTAACTGTGGCAGTGATGGGGTCTATCATTTCTGGCCAGTGACAAGTTACTCTGACAGTCCAGTGCCCAGACGTGATGTTCACTCTGACGTGCCCATCTGACGTAGATGTCTGTGCCCATCTGACGTCCGCTCCGTCCATCTTCGGCAGGCTGATGCCGGAGAACCTGCACCAGGCGCCGCGGGTAGCCTGTCTGTGCGGACCCCACTCACAGGGAGCGGCCGGTGAGTGGACATTGTGGAGCGTGGAGTGTAGAGTGTAGAATGTGTGCACCCTACTCTCAGGGAGCGGCCGGTGAGTTTACAGTTTAGAGTGTAGAATGTGTGAACCCCACTCTCAGGGAGCGGCCGGTGAGTTAACGGTTTAGAGTGTGGACTGTGGAGTGTGGAATGTGTGAACCCTACTCTCAGGAAGCGGCCAGTGAGTGGAGAGTGTGTGAGTGTACATACGGTGTTGTTTAGTTTACGAACCCTACTCTCGGGGTGCCACCGGGGTGCAAAGACTATGAATGTGTGAATGTAAAATAGCATAGGTTTCAGTCTCTGAACCATGGAGTCTGCGAGCTCCCTGCCTCAGTGTCGTGTATGCTCATGGCTGATGTAGTGATTGAACCCTCAGGGCAGTGGAAATTATAGACCCAAATCCAAAAACAGTGTAGTTACGGACCCCTTCCTTGTGTTGCCGTGCTGTGCGGCGGCGTCATCCTGTTCTGACGCCCCTCCGGCTGTGTCCGCGCGCAGGGCTGAACGCGGCGCGCCAGCTGGCCGGCCACGGCGTGCAGGTGACTGTGTTCCTGCCGGACCTGGCTCTGACGTGCCGTGCGCTGAGCACCGAGCTGCAGCTGTACCGGCTCACCGGCTGTCGGCTGACGCACACCGTATCAGGTGGGTCACAGTCGCCTCTCTCCACACACACACACACACTCCTACACGTTATACTGGTGATACACAGCCCGGCTGTCGGCTGACCTCAGCGTCTCGGGTGGGCGGTTTTGGGGGCGCCAGTCTATCACAGGGACTGCCCGGAACACACACCAGCCAGCCACGGGGACTGCCCGAGACACACACCAGCCAGCCACGGGGACTGCCCCGGAACACACACCAGCCAGCCACAGGGACTGCCCGAGACACACACCAGCCAGCCGCGGGGACTGCCCGAGACAGTTACCAGCCAGCCTCGGGGACTGCCCGAGACAGTTACCAGCCAGCCACGGGGACTGCCCCAGACACTTACCAGCCAGCCACGGGGACTGCTCCAGACACGTACCAGCCAGTCTGTCACAGAGACTGCCCCAGACACTTACCAGCCAGCCACAGGGACTGCCCGAAACAGTTGCCAGCCAGTTCGTCACAGGGACTGCCCCAGACACATACCTGCCAGTTTGTCACGGGGACTGCCCCAGACACATACCTGCCAGTTTGTCACGGGGACTGCCCCAGACAGTTACCAGCCAGCCACAGGGACTGCCCGAAACAGTTGCCAGCCAGTTTGTCACAGGGACTGCCCCAGACACGCAAAAGGCAGACTGTTTCGTGTTCACCCCCCCCCCCCCCTCCCCACACACACACATACACTTTGACACACAGATGAATTTGTTTTCCAGCCCCACGGGAGATTCTGTCCCGTCAGGTCCTGTTCTCAGATTCACCGGCAAGTCTGGTCTTTCGATGGGGACGAGGAAGAGAGAATTACGGCTGGGTGCCGTGGATGACGGCGATGGGGGCGGGACAGGAATAGGGCAGCGGGGCGTTGTTGGATGGTGGTAAAGAAACGATGGTGCCCGCAATACAGGTAAATACTTCGTGAACTTGGCTGAGGACTTTGATTTAGATTGGGAGGTTGGTAAATGAGCCAAACATGGGCGCTGAAGGACCTTGCCGTCTACGCGTTCCAAAACCCCGACAAACACAAGTGAGTGAGGCTGAGAGTCTTGGAAGCAGTGCGCTGACCAGCGCCTCGCGCCGGTGCGGTGTGTCGGAGCCGAGACGCGACCCATCGGCTCGGTGAGGCTGCCGCTGGCAATATTGTCTCAGGTGCCTGTCAGAATGGGACTCAATCCAGCTATTACCGTGTGGACAGAAATTCCATTTGTGGTCTGCTGTTGGCAGAGCAAATATATGAAACTAGCAGTGTTCCTGACGCAGTAATTTATTGGCTTGGCTTGGCTCTCTATGTAGTTACCTTACGTGGTTATGTTTTTCGAACTCCATTGCTCATTATGCTATCAAGGGAATTGTTATTGAAATGCCCTCTATAGTTTGTTGTGTTGCTCTGGCTCGCAATTCCACCGGTGTTATAACTGTGTGATTGGCCGCGCCAGTGCTGCAGCCGGGAGACAGTGCGCTCACAGCGCTCAGCGGGTGCGTATTATTTAGGCCAGGAGTCATAATGTCCAGGGCACGATGTGTCCAGTGCTCGATATAGCCAGTGCCTTGAATGGGCCAAAGTTCATAATGTCCAGGGATTACATAGTCGAAATGTGGCCAACTGCCTGCAGAAAGGGTATAGTCAAAGAGGCCAGTGTTCATGTTGTCCATAAGAGGCCAAGGGGAGTCAAAGTTAGGTTAGGTTAGGCTAGGTTCGGTTAGGTTAGGTTAGGTTGGGTTGCTAGATTACTCCCTTTGGCCTCTTTTGGATAACATGAACAAATAGTGAACACTGGCCTCTTCGGATATACTTAATCCGCAGCCAGATGGCCATATTTGGACCATGTAATCCCTGGACATAGTGAACTTTGGCCCACTCAAGGCACTAGCCATTTCGAACACTGGACACATCGTGCTCTGAACAATATGAATCCTGGCCTAAATAATGCGCCCTTATTCAAGGCACTGGCCATTTCGAACACTGGACACACTGTGCTCAAGACATTATGAACCCTGGCCTAAAGGTTACGCACCGGCCTCTTTTGGATAATGTGAACACTGGCCTATTTGAACATACCCTATCTGCAGCCCGTTGGCTACATTTGGACTAGAGATGTCAATCGGATACCAACTTTTTGGTATACCGATACCAAACCGATACCAACTTGGTATTTGGTATTTCAATCGTAATATGTTTGGTATTTTGTCGGTATCATGAACCCTCACTAACGTAGGTATAAGAGGCTAAGAAATCGGTAAAAAGTTGGCATTGCCCTCATTTTCCCAAGTTGGTTTGGTTTCGGTATTTCCCCATGGTTTTGGTTGGTATTTGGTTTGGTATCGGTATTCCGATTTTCCGTAATTGACATCATTAATTTGGACCATGTGATCCCCGGACATTGTGAACCACGGCCAGAATGTATACTCCTGCAGCTTGAAAAGGTACCTAGCAGAAAAAGGAGCGCCTTCATAGGATAACAGGTACTGGAGAGGCGTGATAATCAAAAGCCCAGCTGTGAGCTGAAAAGTTCCGGGTACTGAAGTAGGACGTTTGAGTGAACCCATTCTATCTCTGTTGAAATTTTGGTTACCTTCAACTCCTGCGTGAGGTCGTCCTTGTGTCGGCTCAACATCCAGCCTTGCGCTACTTATTATGGCATTGCAAATTATTCATGCTTCATACCCCGTAAATGTAAGTGCCATTCAACCACTGCGCGGCTCCGTTTGTTTAGTGCTGATTAAAAATGTAACGTGACGTGACATTGCCAGGTGCTCAACCGGCTGCGGCTAGTTACTATTTGATTACTGCACATTTCCTTTCTGAACTGACGGCCGCCAGACCTTCAGCACCCAGTGAGCCCTCACTGTGAGTGTGGCCCGGGTCGATAACATGACGCCGCTGTTCAGGCCGGCATTTAGGCCAGCGCTGATGGTTTGTTTTGTAGAAACGCCGTCCTAAACTGATGGCCTAAGTGTGTTAAGACTCGGTAAAGTTCACGTGTGACGCACGTGCTAGTTTGATCGCTGCACACTGCAGCGGCTCCCGTTGCACGCTCCGCGCGCCGTCCACTGTCAGTCTGCCACTAGGGCTGATTCCATTTTGGCTGCACCTTATGTCGTTTTATATGCGTTACACATTATTTTACTTTTGACTGCTGAACAGCAAACCAGTGACATTCATAAGTACAGGTCAATGCCATCGCTAATCGTTGTGCTTATTGCTTGTCGCCTATGGTAGTTCGGTTTGGTTTCTGTAAGTGCTGTCCGGTGCCCGCTCTGCGGCCGGTGAGCAGTGACGCCCGCCCGTCCCCGTCCCCTGCAGAGCTGCCCGAGACGGTGGACCTGATCGTGTGCACGCTGGACGACCACGAGCTGAGCTCGCAGCTGGCCTTCCAGCCGTGGCACCGGTCGGCTGTGGCCTGGGCCAACGGCAGCCGGGCGCCGGTGCTGGCGCTGGACCCGCCGGCGCCGCCGCCGCCGGCCGCCGCCGCGCCCGCCGCCATCGAGTGCAAGTACACGCTGGGCGCCGTGCTGCCGCTGGGCTACGGCGCGCAGCAGGGCGCCGTCTACCTCTGCAACCTCAACGTGCCCACCGAGGTGTTCCGCAGCCAGCGCATCGAGTACGTGTCGCCGTTCGGGCCGCGTATCGTCATACCGCTGCACGCGCGCGACGTCGACTGACGTGGTGGCGCCGGGCACTGACGTCGACTGACGTGGTGGCGCCGGACACTGACGTCGACTGACGCTGTGAGGCGGGACACTGACGTCGACTGATGTTGATGCTGACGTCGACTGAAGGCGCCGCCGGGCCGGGATGGCCCGCGCCCCGTCCCGTTCCACCGGCCGCCGCTGGACCCCAGGGTGGTGCGGCAGCTGGGGTAGAGTCCCGGCGGCGTCCCGGTGGTGGGATCCCGACTGAGACGGGGCACCGGGTTCGTGCCCGGGGACGAAAGGGTGGCGGACGTCCGGCCGGGACGTCAGCAGCTGAGCTGGTGACGGGTCCTCCGTCCTGACTTATCTCCTGGAGACTTATCGGGGAGCGGGTAATGGATAGCTGTTGTAGGGAGGCAGTGGGTCTTTGTGGCTCCGGCCGCTCTCAGTATATCTGCTCTGATCTGTGTTGCTGTAGTTTTGTATTTGCGTGGAGCGGACAGCTCGATTGCTCAGTGTTCCGCCCTGTGTACTGTTGTTGTGTGTGCGGTCGGACCAGGATGCTCCCTGGGTCTGCGATTGGATCTCCGCACCCATTGTGGGGCGATGGATCTGTGAGTGGATCGCCGCGCCTGTGCGGGGCGATGGATCTGTGCGCAACTCTTGCCAGTCGACGGCGATACAGACCGAATCTGTGTCAAATTGCTGCTCGAAAGACAATAAACATAATGTCTCATAGTTCGATGATTTAGAATTGTTGGGTAGCATTCCGAGATTGTGGGGGTGGAGACGAACTGCTCCCGTTAACGGCGGGCAGGGTCTGGGAAAATCTCCACGCGGCGCGTGTTTAGTATGTTTTGCAGCAGATGAGCTGCCCAGTGCCCAGTGCAGTGCAAGTGGCGGGCATGGGCTGCCACTGAACTCTTAGTTCAGGGGAAGGACGACATCGGCCCACAGCCGGGACGACGTGAAACAAAGCCTCGGACAATTGTCCCGCCACTGCAAGCAGCAGCATGGACTGAGGAGTAGTCATAGGCCCCGGGCCTTTTTCCTGTCGCCGTCTTCACGAGTCCGGCTCTGTGGTCGATGGCGTACCTTCTGCCGCGGCACGGGGCCATTCATCGGAGCGGCACAGTGCACACCGATCGTTAAGGGGCCCTGACACTTGCACGATTTTGTGGCACGCATTGGCACGAATCGAATCGTGCCCGTGCGCAAACTAGTCGTGAACTGACGTGAAGTGTGCGTTAACTCGTCGTGACTTCGTGTCACGTCGGGGCAAAAACTTTGAAATGTTCAAAGTTTTGGTCACGACAAAATTTCGCAACCGGATCGTGAACTATGCGCAAACTGTTCGTGAACTCGTCGTGAACTCGTCGGGACGGTGCGGAAAGTGCGTAAACTATGCGCAAACTATGCGAAAAGTATTCGTGAACTCGTCGTACCAGCCCGTGCCAATGTGTGAATCTCAGCTTGCTTCGCAGCGCGAAATTTGGGATTGTTTGGTGTTTTTCCCGAGTCGATTGGACGCCTAGATGGGAAGTAATGACCGAAAATGTATTTAACGGGTCATTTCAGGTCAAAGAGGGCAAACTAGGTCACACGGGCTCATGTTAGGTCACACGGTGTCAGATTAGGTCACAGAGGTCACCATGAGGTCACGATGGGTCACGCCAGGTCGCAGAGGTCAGCCAAGGTCACGATAGGTCAGTCCAGGTCAAACTGGTCACATTAGGCACGGTCAGGACATTTGTGTCACTGGAGGTCACAATGGGTCTTGCCAGGACACGGAGCTTACAGCCTTACATTAGTGAATGGGAGGTCCCATTTTTATATGGCATGCCTAAGTCGGCACAAATTGCGCAAACTTGTCGTGTCAATGCATGAAGTGCGTAAACTATGCGCAAACTATGCGGAAAGTATGTGTGAACTCGTCGTACCAGTTCGTGCCAATGTGGACACTGATGGGCACGCATTCGTGAATTATTCGTGAAATCGTCGTGAACTGGTCGTGTACTAGTCGTGAACAGTGCGGGAGCCATCCCAGTTCGTGCACGAAAATGGCACGGCTTGCCACGACAAAATCGTGACCAAAAGTCGTGCAAGTGTGAATGGGATTTACATTACACTTGCACATTAGTGAATGGGAGGTCCCATTTTTATATGGCATGCCAAAGTCGGCACAAATTGCGCAAACTTGTCGTGCCAATGCATGAAGTGCGTAAACTATGCGCAAACTATGCGGAAAGTATGCGTGAACTCGTCGTACCAGTTCGTGCCAATGTGGACACTGATGGGCACGCATTCGTGAATTATTCGTGAAATCGTCGTGAACTGGTCGTGTACTAGTCGTGAACAGTGCGGGAGCCATCCCAGTTCGTGCACGAAAATGGCACGGCTTGCCACGACAAAATCGTGACCAAAAGTCGTGCAAGTGTCAGGGCACCTTTACATTAGTGAATGGGAGGTCCCATTTTTATATGGCATGCCTAAGTCGGCACAAATTGCGCAAACTTGTCGTGCCAATGCATGAAGTGCGTAAACTATGCGCAAACTATGCGGAAAGTATGCGTGAACTCGTCGTACCAGTTCGTGCCAATGTGGACACTGATGGGCACGCATTCGTGAATTATTCGTGAAATCGTCGTGAACTGGTCGTGTACTAGTCGTGAACAGTGCGGGAGCCATCCCAGTTCGTGCACGAAAATGGCACGGCTTGCCACGACAAAATCGTGACCAAAAGTCGTGCAAGTGTCAGGGCACCTTTACATTAGTGAATGGGAGGTCCCATTTTTATATGGCATGCCTAAGTCGGCACAAATTGCGCAAACTTGTCGTGCCAATGCATGAAGTGCGTAAACTATGCGCAAACTATGCGGAAAGTATGCGTGAACTCGTCGTACCAGTTCGTGCCAATGTGGACACTGATGGGCACGCATTCGTGAATTATTCGTGAAATCGTCGTGAACTGGTCGTGTACTAGTCGTGAACAGTGCGGGAGCCATCCCAGTTCGTGCACGAAAATGGCACGGCTTGCCACGACAAAATCGTGACCAAAAGTCGTGCAAGTGTCAGGGCACCTTAACTCTTGTGGTCCCCACTTGAGGGGGCCGTGGTCGCGCGCCCGCGGGTCACACGACGGCGTCATTACGGCCTGCGGCCAGAGTCGGTGTCGCCCGCCGGTGATGGCAAATTACAGACCTCTGGCCTATTGTGGGAGGGCCGACGGGGTCAATTTTACGTCTTTCAATCGTTATCGTTTCACGCATATAGGAAACCGTGGTGCATAGCGCCATATAGTTTGACGTTGATATAAACATAAATTTGGCATCCCGTTGTTAAATTTTGATCCCGCGACCCGGGTCATTTGCAGGCATCTGATTCCGAGTACGATTCCACAGCCTTGTCTGGAGATGAAGGTGTCTAAAAATGTATTTTTTTCTTTTAACGCTATAGGTAAAATGTTGGTTGTTCTCCTTTATTCAATGATTTTCGAAATAAGAGCTTAGAATAGTGCTATTTACTGCTGCAAAGCTGTGTCTATTTGTTTGGAAAGGTAACTGATGATTACAACCGTCCCCAATAGTGTTCTGTGTATGTATAAAATGTCCGATTTCGTACGTCCGAGCGGGTTGTTGCGCACTATATTACAATGCATGCGTGTTATACCGCGGCACCCTGGTACTCCACCGGCGGCCGGCGGCTCGTTAGCGGCGGTTGTTACGGGCGCCTGGTCGATCAGCGGCGCTGCCGTGCACGGGCGCCGTCTTTGTGTGCCGCCGCCGCCGTGTGTACCGCGTGGGCTCCTCCCTTCCCCCTCCCGCCCGCCAGTTCCAGGAAGGCCGACCTCCAAATGGCAGCGCCAGTGCCGGCACAGGGTGTAACTGTGTCTGGGGTTTTCATAAAGGTCACCTGAGGTCAGGTCGGTCACGTGACCTCGCCATGCTAAGTCAATGGGTAAAAATGGAAGCCGTTATATTGGCGTCAGACATGATCTAATGCTCATCTCATGTCAAACTGATGGAGAGGTGATTTCATACACTCCTGGAAAGGTCCGCTGCTTAATTTTTGTATTGCTGACCTTGTGTGACATATATGTATAACCTCAATAAGGTCATAGGGGTTTTTCGTCAATAACTCCCGAGCAAACTGGGAGCTAGGTATTGACGGGGAAGCCATGGATTGACTCAGAAACACCTGCCGAATCGAATGATACGCAATGTCACTTCTTTCCACCAACTTCGCAACCTGAGTGGCTTTGACCTGATTTTGACCCAATGTCAACACCATAATTTACCTCACCTAACAAACAATAGTGGGTATGTATAGCCTTCGACGTGCAGTATACCATGACAACCGCACGATGGCATGTCAAAATTGCATATCCGGGATCATTTCTGGCGACGTTACCTTGACATGGTGACCTAGCCTTAGGTGACCTGTGGCTAAATTATCACACACGATGCAATTATTATATAGTATAAACCGTACCAAATCTTGAGGCACTGCGCGCAACGGTTTTCTTTATAAGCTCAACAAACTGGGAATGCGGCCAAAAACTCATATCCTACCAGGGTTAAGGCTAAATACACACACACGCACACACAAATTCCGTAGCGATATCTCTGGTCATGTAAGGATATAAAAAGGCAAGTAACAACAAATAGGAATATATTTAGATATTGAAGAGCACTTAACATCACAGTTTTGTCTTTACTACACGTTTACCCCCATGCAGAATGCAGAATCTTATACTGCACTGGGACTAGATGTTATTCAGTATGCATTAGGTACTTAAAGACGCATTTTACATCAACCAACATCCCTATAAACAATGAAGCTAGTACCTATGTATCATCCATTGTCGTTAGGAGCTGGTAATTCTAGGACAGTGTCTGAATGAATAACAGAATCGTCGTATGTTATAATTGACATAGCATGACATAGTTATAACTTATAATTGCCACCTCAGTCTAAAAATGCATAGTGGCGCTAACGAATGGTTTGTACACACCTGTATGTCGGACGGTGTGTCCGGGATGGTAAAGGTATGACGGACACATTGTTCTTGCATTGTTCTGCCACGTTGTTCTGCTGCGCGGTCTGCTATCATGTAGCAATGACACGCATTGTAAGTGTCTGATATTGCCGCACTCACGAATACGCGATATTGATGTCCACAGATCACAACAGCAATACTGATCCATTATCTCACTTGATGCCTACTGGCTACGACTATGAGCCTTGCGTTTTATTTGCTTACAGATGTCTTCGCTATTTTAAACTTAAACTACCACGGCGCTTTGGCAGTTCCTGTGAATATGTGACCTGTATATATGTCTGCAACAACGACCCTAACATGGGGTAATATCACGCGCCGTGCAAGCACAGCGCTCGGCCGCGCTGGTCAGCCTCAGGCTGGTGGCTGCTCTCGACAGCCATGCAGCTTTCTAGCAACTTCTGATGGCCGATGTCAGCTAGGCAGGCCGCGAACAGGGGGCATTGGGCCACCAGTGGGCATTGGGCCACCAGTGGGCATTGGGCCACAGGGACCACAGGGGGCATTGGGCCACCGCTCAAAGCTGTCCAACAGTCTCAAACAGTGTCCAAAAATCGTTCAGCAGCCGCCCAAAGCTACCTTTAGCCTTCTGACGCCGACCATCAGCCGTATAACGCCGCCCACCAGCCGTATAACGCCGCCCATCAACCGTATAAAGCCGTCCGTTAGCCGTACATAACACCGCCCATCAGCCGTATAACGCCTCCCATCAGCCGTATAATGCCGTCCATCAGCCGTACATAACACCGCCCATCAGCCGTATAACGCTGACCTTCAGCTGTATAACGCCGTTCGTCAGCCGTACATCGTATAACGCCTCCCATCAGCCGTATAACGCCGTCCGTCAGCTGTACAACGCTGACCTTGAGCCGTATAACGCTGACCTTCAGCCGTATAACGGCGTCCGTCAGCTGTTTAACACCGTCCATCAGCCGTGCAGCAGCCGTCCAGCAGCAATCCAACAGCCGTGCAGCAGCCGTCGAGCAGCAATCCAACAGCAGTGCAGCAGCCGTCCAGCAGCAATCCATCAGCCGTCCATCAGCCGTGCAGCAGCAATCCAACAGCTGAAGGTAACGCGTTGTCTAGCTCCCACGCCAGCGCGATAAGGCACTCAAAGGCAGCCAGTTCCGGCCACGTGGCCCGACGCGCCGCCGCCGCCGCCGGTCACATGATCGGTGACCGCGCGCCGGCGGCTGGGTCACGTGATCACCTGACCTCTGTGACGCCCGGCAGGGGGCGTCCCGGATAGGCCGGCTGCAGCGGCCCGTACTCGCGCAGGGGACACTGCGAGCCGCCGATGTACTGCACCGGATGGTTACTAGCAGGCAGTGTGTACACACCTGAAACGGCGCCGAGAACAGGTCACAGAGGTAACCAGGGTAGCACAGGTCACCAGAGGCCACCGAGACCCTGTTTCACGGCACGACGCTACAGCGCGCTACGCGCATCGGTGTATTAGGTTTCTATGGAAACATCAACAAGCTCGGACGCTCGCAACGCTGAAGCGTCGAGGCGAATTCGTCTCAAACGCCACACCAATACTGTAGCGCACTGTAGCGGCGTGCCGTGAAACAGGGCCCTGATGGGTACAGGTCACCAGAGGTCACCAGACGGAACACAGATCTAAAAAGGTCGCCAGAGGGAGCACAAATTATCCAGCTGTCACCAGAATCACAACTTATCCAGATGTAACTAGGGGTCACCGGGTGGGGCACAGGTCAGCGGAGGCCTCAGGCCAGCATGTAAAGCACAGTTCACCAGGGGTCATCAGACTGAACATATCTCGGTAGAGGTCTCGTGACTGCATAAATGAACACAGGCTGACAGAGATATAACCAGGGAAGCCAAAAGTGAAGTTATTTTATATGATTGTTGTGGTGAGATAAAGTTCAGAGAAGGTCAAATACGAGCCCAGATCGCCGCAGGCTGCCATACATCCGACGACCACCGGAAAGCTGATGACATCGCCGACCGAGGTCATAACAGGTCACTATCGAGGTTGCACTGTTGAACGGCATGCCTTGGGCAGCAAAGCCGTGCTCATGCACATGCAGAGCGTGGGTGGCTACGTTGGGCCTGTGAGAGGTCGTTGTCAGTCAGCCGCCAGTGCGTTGACCTGCCAGCGTGTTCCGACACTGCTCAGTGCCCATGCATCCACTGCACTGGCGAGCTGTGCCAGTGGAAGCATATCCCAATATTGCTTCTCATTCGTACATACCTACCTCCTTGCGATTGGTAAAACAAAACTCTTAACTCGATTATTTGTATTGTTAATGATCTTAGAGTTCACTAATGCTTGCATGCAATTCCCTTGCTCGTTCACTGATGCATTTGCCACTGCTCGTCATAAGGTAGATATGCCACCATGCTTGGGTCATCCCACTGTGTCGGACGATAGTTGAGTTGACTGCTCCACGCCAATAATGTGTGTCAATCAAGGATTTTCCATTCCTCACATTTCAGACTGCTGTAATGTAGTTAGTATGTACATGTGCCATGTGGATCGTGTAATGTATACAGTTCACGATCCATATGTATTTCTACAGAAATAGATCGGCACCTAGCACCTTAATAACTAAGTTGTTTCTTTAACCCATTTACGCCCTTCGTTGCGTTTTCGCAACGCAAGCAAGCGTCGACGTGATCGAAGCTTGAGAAGTGTGTAAAAGAGACTAACCGATGAGACAAGTTTCAGCGTGTGTAGCATGGTTGTGCGCATGATACTACGCAGTTACAAGTCTGTGCGGCCGGTAAGTTACTGCCTAGAGCTCCCAGAGGGAAGTCGAAGGTTTTGTGAGTGATGACGTCACGAAAACCAAGATAAGTAGGCTAAGTGCTTAATAATATCGTAATGAAAATTGTGTAAACATATTCTGCAGAGTCCCTACAATAGCGTAGATATGCATTTTGTTAAGAAATAATGCTACAAAAAGGGTTTGTGACTATTTTCAAATATGACTACGGTCGCGTTGCGGGAACGCAACGAAGGGCACATCGGAAAGACAGCGGTGTTGCGAAAACGCAACGATGGGCACATTGGCAGGGTAGCGGAAGTATGAATATCAACAGTAGACTTCACTCGTGATACGCTGTGGGTTCTCTCTTTCTCTCCCCCATCTTCCTCCCTCTCCTCCTCGTTCCCCAACTCTCTCCCCCCCTCTCTCTCTCTCTTTCTCTCTCTTTCTTTCTCTCTCTCATTTTGTAGCCATGAGGCTGTAGCGGCGGAACATCTTCAATTAAGGGGGGGGGGGGAGCACTGCTGACTTTTGGTCTCATTCCTTCCATTTCCATTTCCATGCAACGCCTATCGGGATAATGTTAAAATGGCAAAATCAAGGGGGCACGGTGCCCCGGTGCCCCCTCCCCCCGCTCCGCCGCCTATGCCATGAAAAGCATATATAGGTATGTTTAGTGCAAGGTGCGTTTGCACGTAAAATGTTGCGACACATTTCATATTTGCTGGCTCAAAGAGCCACAAACACTCCTTTCTTTTTCTCTCGCAGATTTTCGGCCTCGGGCTGTTCGTTCACTAAGCAATGTGTTCCCATGCATCTGAAAATCGCATGGTAGGAAAAGGACCCATGCATCAAACGGTCGGCGATGCTAACGGAGCTGAGAGGTAATTAGGTCCTTTGGAAATTGGATCTACTATGTACATTGTGCATAAATAATGAATAACGGGGATGTATTCTGGTATCAGGCGACAGATAGGCATCGCCATTCTCTGGATAGAATCTGCTGACTACCAGCATTTACGTTAGAAAAGATAACTGAGGGTCGGCAAATAGTGGGATAGGCCCCCTCTGAGGGTAGCTGAGCCCTTCGGCAGGGGTAATGAGGGCGGACCCATGGGAAAATAATAATTTTTAGGATTCATAACTCGCATAGATTCATAAGCTGCTTGATGTGGAGTATACGCATGTTTTCTTACTTTGATAGGCTTTTTATCTAATCAGACCATTTTTAGAGCTAGCAGGATTATTGGAATTAGGACATTTGTCTGACCGGACACGGTCAATCGTAGACTGGAGACTGAGCCCAGCCAGTGGGCAGCCGCCACCGATGACCCACCCCCTTCCCCCCTCCCAAGCACTCACTGCACCCGGCTACAGGCGCGCTCCTATGTGAGCTGCCCGATTGCGATATACGTTGCCGGTCCAGCCCGGAACAGGGGGATGAGGCGTGGAGGAGGATTCAACTATCCTGAAGATGGAAAGGACGGATTGACGTCGAATCACCATTCTGTCCTGGCATTGTCTTGAGAAAGAGGTTACACGTGAAGGTCGCTGAGAGTGGGGCCATGAAAATTTTGGATTAGGTGTAAACAATAAACATGATAAACTGGGAGTCGATTTGCTGTGATGCGCTACGCCTTACGCGGGTAATTTGTTAGAGCCGGATCGGTCCTTTTTTCTTTTTGATGTGAGTGGGTACGACTAACCTGCAATGGAATTTAACTTTACTCCTAGGAAGTAGGAGGGTGGTTAAAAATGATTGCGGATATACGCGCATACGAGAGGCACTGGTTTACTCCCAATCCTCCGTTTAATTGTATTCAGTGTGCACTGTGCAGGGTCTGATAGGTGGAGGTAATGGATCTGTCTAGCTTCCAAAAAGAAAGCATCACCCTGGATACGTGTCGACCACAACTTTAAATGAACAGCAATGGACAACGTAAATGGTTGATAATGACCGTGTTGCCATCTCCCCGTTCGCGAATCATGAAGTTATGCTTCCTCACTGAGGCTCTTAGGCGGGTTATAGAGCATGACGGATGTGGGTTCCGCATTTTCAAGCAATAGTTGTCAACAGTTGATTGATGTTTTGTCAAAATATATTAGCATATACGGCAGTTCAGTGTACTTTAAGTCCGTCTGATGTGCCCGTCGTTGCGTTTTCGCAACGCTGATGGCGCCCGGTGTGCCCTTCGTTGCGATTTCGCAACGCATGTTTTTTACGTTTTTCTCGAGAAACTTTTGCTGCAGGCAAAAATTATTTTCGATTCCATACAAGGCCCTGGTAGGAGCATAACATATTTTGATTTCGTCGATTTTCATGATGGTCAATATTCCTGGGCATAAATGGGTTAACCCGGCAGTTGCTGGGGTATTTCGCCACCCACCGTTTGCTGGGGGGGGGGGGGCGTTAAACGCCCCCAGCCGATAACTCGAGAACCAATAGGCGCAGCGAAACGCACGAGGCGGCAAACGAAAGAGCGCGACGAGACGCTTCAGATGAGTACTTTAACCCGGCAGGCGGTGGGCCTACCAGCCACCTTCCGCGCGGTGGGGGGGGGGGCACTTTTTTGCCCCCCCCCCGTATCTCCGAAACTGCTGGACGGATCCGGAAAATTCAAACGGCGTTCGATAGCCCTGTCAAATTTGTCGAGGGAAACCAAATTTCATTGACCTCGGGGTCACCGATGACGTCACAGGTCAGGTCAAAGATAAAATGTTTCACCGTTCACGGGGCTTCTAGGGAAAGCGCTATAACACCGAGTAAAACGCATTTTGTCGAAAATCAGCGATAAGGCGTCAGTTGTCTAGTACATATGTTGCTATTAGAGGTCACTGGTCATACCAGGTCAGGTCACAGGTCAGGTCACCAAAGGTCACCAAGGGTCACCACATGAGCCCAACTTTACTAAGGTTATGCGATGCATGTTTTATGGCCAGTTTTTCATTTCCATCTCAATGGTGTTGGTTATAAGACCATCAGGTACGGTTTGGGTCACTTTCTGGTGGAGGTCAGGTCAAGGTCAGGTCAAAAAAGGTCAAATTTCAAAGTTGATATTTATGCATAAAATGGGTATCGATTCGATGCAGCTCGTCACGGGGAGTCTAATGGTGGTCTTTGTTTTGCGCTACGAGGTCTAGAATTGCTAAAAATTGAGTTTGAAAATTTGACGTCATCAATTTTGAACAGTTTTTTCGCTATAACTTGGCCAAAAAAAGAGGTATCGATCTCAAATTTGGTATGTAGATAGAAGGCGGTAGGGGCTATCACATATATTCCGGTTTTTTCGAAATTCAAAAAACTTTTTGGATTTTTTGGCTATTATATTCAAAAAATCTATTTTTTGATTTTTGGGGGTCAAAATCCAAAAAATTCGAAAAACCGAAATAGCAGTTTTGTAGCCCTTTTAATTTTACACCTTTTATGTCTGAAACATTTTTCTGTATCACTAAAGCTGTAGGCCTGACAGCTCTTCCCGCGAAACCTTTTTTTGGGTCGAAAATGGCAAAAATGACGTCACTCTGACGTCATTAGCGGCCAACCTATCATAGCCTTTGGAAAAATTTTTGGTCACCATGTGCGCTAGCTGCTCCCGGGAGGGTACTGAAAGTTTGGTGACGATCGGCGCAGCGGTTCTCGAGATATATCGAAAAAACTAAAGGGGGGGGGGCAAAAAATTGCCCCCCCCCACCGCCTGGAAGGTTAAAATTGAATTTTGAGGTCACAGGTCGGGTCAAGGTCAGGTTAAACACCTGAAATCGGGCTTTCAGTAGCATGGACTTCAGAGCTTCGCAATGGGCGCCTCTCGTCATAAACGTTGTCAAAACGGTGCACAATCCATCATATAAGGCCTAAAAGAGTGTCAGCTCCATGTAGGGGTCAGTCAAGCATAGGTCAGGGTCAAGGTCAGGTCAACCGGGTAGGCACATATCCCCGAAAATCAAAACTGATATTCGCAGCTTGCGACACATGTTTTATGGGTAATTTGGGGCGTAGAACCCGATGGTGACATTCATTTTATCGTATGTGTACGTGTTTGGCTCAAAAAAGTTCAATTTAAAGGGACAGTATCACCATTTTGATGAAATTTGACATTGCATAGGCCCCACCTTTCTGGTCCGGGAACTGAAGACCGATCCTCGAAGCTCCACACCGTTATCCCGCTATCGCCGCTCAAAGTACGAAAGGTGTACCACACTTTGAATCGTGCTTCACTATCTTCACTGTTTAAATGTTTGCGCCGTTTTGAATTGACCGCCAGTAATAAAACTTTTACCCTGGTCATTTCATCAAATTTTATAAAGCCAAAACGTTTTTCGCACTTATTCATCACCGTTAAATTCATTAAATAGTCGTAGGCAATTTCCGCTGTTTCCTTCGGATTCTAGCGGCTCAACAAAGGAATTCCTCCAGCTTGAATCACAATCTCCCTCCAATGTATGACGTTTATCACGTGATTGTCACGTGATATTTTCTCCCATTGTCAATTGTCACGTCCAATTGTCACTCCCTCCAATTGTCACGTTATATTTTTATAGGCAATACCTAAGGCTACCTCTCCCTAAGGACAACTCAATCAGAAGAACGACCGCCTAAGCGTAGCGTCAATAATGTATTATCTGCGCCAGTTCTGTAGTAATTTTGCATGCTTCCAAACTGGCGGCCATGCTTGTATAGTGGTGGTTCGCTCATGAAAATGAATCATGAAAATGAAATGTGGTTGCAATATTTTTCACCGAGTTCGGTCCTCAAACTATGTTTTTCTGATTCAGAAAAATAAGAAATGCTAGTAAAAAAAAAATCAGCTCCATACATGGATTTTTTTTTCGATGATACTGTCCCTTTAAGAAATGTATGTATCATGGTCGTGAAGTAGTCGCGAGAAATTGCCAAGATTCAGTTCAAGATTTTGGAAAATGCAGAACGATAATCAATAATCGAAGATAGCCATTTGATTGTCCATGGTATTGGCAGTCTAATGGCGTTTACGGCATGTCTGTATGTCTATTCTGTGATTTTATATGATTTTTTGAACATATGCCGTTTTTGGTCGAAAACTCAGAAATCATGACGTCACTAAAACCTCGATATCTCAAAAATTTTCCAACCGATTTTTTTTGAAACTTTGTCACAATAAACTTCAATCAATTCCCTACAGGTACCCAAATTTTGGCGCGCCTGCGGCGCGCCGTTTTTATGCTATGGCCCGGCGAAAAAAGTGGGGGCGTTTAACGCCCCCCCCCCCCCAGCAACTCGCGGGTTAACCGGCGACTTGCTAGGGGTGGTTGCTATGAGAGCCACATTTTTCGTCGCGCTAGTACCTATAGTTGGAAAACGGCGGGCCGCAGGCGCACAATCCTATAGTTAGGTTCCTGTTGCGAAATGATTGAACATCTTGCATTCGCGAGAGGCATGATTACCTAACTTAAAGGGACCCTCCCACCTTCAAAAAAGTTAATGAATTGGCATGAAAGTGATGTCCCTTGGTTCAGAAAGAGCGAAAACGAATATCTACCAAATTTCACCGAAAAATATTCACTGGTTTTCAAGATATTAGGCTTTTACTTTTGTTTACTTTTTGGGATCTCCCCTGTTACTAGCGACTTTATTTGGAAGCAATAATTTGGCAGCCTTAAAGTGCGGCAGACGTTGCGCGCAAAGCAGCGTATACCACCACGTGTTAACGATGGTTTTAGTCTAAGATTTAAAAATCGTTAGATCTCCGCTGACGTCACAAATTCTAAGGGGGCATTCCAATGCATTAGCCCCTTAGAATCCGAAAACTGCAAGTTTGAAATTCCATATCTTCGAATTAAAGCATTTTTCGATGTTGTGAGTGCCCAAACCGGTATTTGCAGGCCATGGCCACCAATTTGGCTATCTCAACTCAAAACTAATGTTAAGGTGGGAGTGTCCCTTTAATGGTGACCTGACCTGGTGACCTGGGGTCGAAGATTCTACACACGATTCAGGCTGAATGTCTGCAAGCTATGCCAAGTTAGCCAAACTATGCCTCTTCATCCTGCGGAACAGTGTGTTGTGGCGTGGCTTTCATCAGTTACCTAGTCCTACAGGCAGGCGCGTAACCACGAGTCTGACGTTACTGGGGACCATATGGAGGACCGCGAAGACCAAATATTATATTTCAGGATCAGTCTGTCTTCGCCCGATTGTTGACCACACCCAGTTTTTTTTTTTGCGCGTGTAAGGAAAACCGCGGTGCGCACCACCGCGAAACTTGGCATAGCTTATGATACCTTAATTTCGCATCGTGTGAAAATTTTGACCCCAGGTCACATAAGGTCAGGTCACCAGGTCAAGTAAAGTAGCCATGCCTCTAAAAACTTTGTGTCTGTCATTCCTACAGTTTAAATACCAGAAGTTTGAAACTCGGGCTTTTGCATGAGGAAATCAGTATGAACAATTCGTACATCTCAAAGTCAGATCGGTGACCTAATGTCAGGTCAACTTTGCGACCTCTACATTATGAGTCAATGGGGGAAAATTGAAATGCTCTTCTTTTGGCCGAAAACACAAACACCGTGAAACAGGTAAACATGACACACTGAACCGGAAAATTGCACCTGTGACTCCTTCTACCTATGTCCGTGCAGAGGTCATCTCAGGTCATGAAATATCTCCAACAGGTTTTTACCATAACTTTAGGTAGAAACATGCTAGAGCTCTGAAAACACCATCAGCTCAGCAATACGAATCGAATGACATGCAACATGGCCTTTTCCGTGACCTTGACCTGAGGTCAAATTTTCAATTTGACCTTTTCAGGTCAACTTATAGTTTATTCGACGCGTCTCGACGAGACAAACGCGATGCCGGTAAAATCAGCGTCATACAAGCTTGGAGTCAAAAGTTATGATACAAAACCCGTTTCCGCAAAAACGCCAACTTTTGATAGTTTTTGCCTCTGGAGGCTAAACCGTTGACGTGAGGTCAAATCTGAGACCATTACTCAGAAAGACCTTTGAAAGAGCTATCGAATGCGATTTCCCGCAGCACTGCAGCTCTATTGGTTCCCGACTTATGCGCCGATGTGTGAAAAGTTGCCAAATTCGGGATCAAACGTTCGTAAAAAATTACCTTTGGTGACGTCCAGTGACCTTAGCGATGACCTGATCAAAAAAGTCCTAGATAGTTCTAAAAGATGCTGTAGCGAGCTATATGTTGCTTTTTACTACGTCTTTCTAGCTTGCTTACTTTCCGAGATAATCTGGTGTGGCCAAAAAGGCCCCCCACCATGGCGAGGTTGGCTGAGAGGCCCACCCGGGCGAGGGCTAAACAAAACATCCATAGTTTTGTCTTCCTTTGACTACATTTTACTCTTCACGTCGATTTAGAGACAATATTTGGCTATTTAAGCAAATTGAGGAGGTCGTTGGTTTTACTGGGGACGGTCCCCAGTAACCCACAAGTTACTGGGGACCGGTCCCCAGTGTCCCCAGTGGTGGTTACGCGCCTGCCTACAGGTAACTGATGCCTGCCTCCTTCCTGTGTGCGGCGGAGCTCGATGAAATAGTGCAGTTACCTATGTGGTAGGTATAGATGATGCAGTGCTGCGCAGCATGCATTTAGAGATTTAGACACGACGTCCATCTACCGATTTATATGTGCAAGCAAGTGCTTGCAAAATGTTTTAGTTATAATCTTAATCTTGCATGTCTTGTTTTATCGCACAGCATTGATAATTGATTATACAGCTTACAAACAATTAGCATTGAGCAGTGGATAGTTGAACGCCAGCCGCCGGCGTCGTGTGCGTGTGTCGGCTGTCGGTAGGGGGTAGCCGGGCGGGGTGTCGGCGGGGGGGGGGGGGGGTCGGGTAGCCGGGCGGACGGCGCGCGCCGTCGCCGGTCGACAGTCGTACCGATGGTGCCGGGACCGGCGGGGCCGACCACCTCCAGCGGCGGGTAGCTGGCCGACCCGGGCCCGAGCGGCGCGCCGTACTGGCCACCCTGCGGAACTGCGGCACACGCACACACACACACACTAAACCCGCGAGCTAACGACAGTGGACCCGCCATGCCAATCAGGTGCAGAAAACACACAATTAACCGGAGCCAAATCACCAAGTGCAAAATAACACGCATAACCATTAACCCTGTTTGAAAGGAAATAAAACTAACACTCACAAAAAAAATATTTTCATCAGAAGTAGATGAACTTGATTTTGGATGGTAACGCTAATAGAATCATGAACATTTTACTTTGCAGCCGAGATGAAATCACGCTAATGCTCACTCAGTAGCAAACATGTACAAAAAATTAACCCGCGCCCCGTTGAGGTCTGGCAGGTTGGTTCCACGTCCTGTTGGGGGGGGGGGGGGGTAGCTAAGAGCTTCGTATCTCCGGATCCAATAGCCGGTTCGGAAAAAACTCGAGCGGAATTCGATAGAGCTCATCGAGATGCATATTGCATAAGAAAGGATAGCAATGATCTTGATTTTTGACCTGTGACGTCACAGGGAGGTCAAACAAGGTCATATCAGTCCAATTTACAATGACGAGAAGTCGGTCATAAAAAGAAATCTAGGTTTCCAACATGAGTCTGGATATGATGCACTGGATAATCACCTGAGTGGATGATGACCTGTGACGTCACAACAGGGCTCAGCCTCGACCAATCAGAAATCACTTACGTGAATCGCAAGGAAAGGCATTAAATTGTGAATATTAGAGTCTTTGTGAAGACATGTCATACATATGCAGCCACAGACACATCCTGGACCATATTTCTTGGAACTATGACGTCACAGGAATGTCAAAAAAGGTCCAAATATACCGATTTTCAACGAAAAATAATTGTTTACGTAAAAGTGACTTAAATCACGTATAAAAGATCTTATTCAGTCAGGAATAGGTTAATAGGTACCTATAACTAATATTATTGCTGACTGATTTCAAGCCCAAATACTGAAAATATTGTGACGTCATGAGAACAATCGCTACTTTTTCAGTCATTCAAATGGCTATATCTTTCGCAGTTTTAGTGATATTAGTTAATTTTTGGCATGTAGTAAGGGGTTCTCTGACATGACATTTCGATACCTTTGAAAATTTCCCCAAATTTTAAAATCATTTCAAGAAATCTAAATTATTGTCTAAAAATCCCTAGAGCTTGATATTTTTGTATTTGGAAAATTTCGAGACAGCCATTTTGTTTACCATGCCTTACTTTTTTATACCTACAGTCCGATTTTTTAAGTCTCTGAAGCTCTGATTCTCTGCGATTTTTCTTCGTGAACGACTTTTTCGACGAAAAATGAACATGACCTCAGTTTGACCTTCATAGCTCGTGACCTGAGATGACCTCAGACCTTTTTTCAGGAGTGGTGTAGAATTGATGCCCGGAGAGGCACTGAAAGTTTTAGGTCGAAATTGGCGGCCGTTTGTGAGTTATCTGCGAAAACCACTGCGGGGCCTTTGCCCCCCCCCCCCCAAACGGGTCGCGGGTTAATGGTCAAGGCACTCATAGACAACAAAAATCATCGGTTGCCTTACAGCTATATTTTGAATCAATGAATCACCATTCTGAGAACGTCCCATGGAACAAGTACACCCAGACCCATTGCACGCGCATTTCTACATAAGCAGCAGATGCAGGGACTACCGGGCGCGGTGCTGAGTGTCGTGTAGTCGTCTCACCTGTGGCCTGCTGGTACGGTGTGATCAGGTCACCTTGGGCGCCGGGCACGCCCACCACCATGGCCGAATCCTGCCGGGACATTCCTGTAGACAGAGATAGACGCACAGCATCACTGCACTGCCGGGACATTCCTGTAGACAGAGATAGACGCACGTCATCACTGCCGAGACATTCCTGTAGACAGAGATAGACGCACAGCATCACTGCCGGGACATTCCTGTAGACAGAGATAGACGCACAGCATCACTGCCGGGACATTCCTGTAGACAGAGATAGACGCACAGCATCACTGCCGAGTGCCGGGACATTCCTGTAGACAGAGATAGACGCACAGCATCACTGCCGGGACATTCCTGTAGACAGAGATAGACGCACAGCATCACTGCCGGGACATTCCTGTAGACAGAGATAGACGCACAGCATCACTGCCGAGTGCCGGGACATTCCTGTAGACAGAGATAGACGCACAGCATCACTGCACTGCCGGGACATTCCTGTAGACAGAGATAGACGCACAGCATCACTGCCGAGACAGTCTTGCAGACACAATAAACATCATGTTGCCAAAACAGTCCTGCACAGTGCACACAGACCCGACAGGCAACTTCACTGCAGGTACATTCTTCCTTACAGAACAGACAGGCAGCTTTACTGCCGACACATTCCCGCAGACACGGCAGACACAGGCAGCACCACTACCGATACATTCATTGAGGAGACATTCATACCTTCATAGTTCATACATTCGTGCATAAATATATATTCGTAGAGCAGACATAGACAGCATCACTGCCGAGACATTCCTGTGGACAGGACAAATATAGACAGCGTCACCGTCGAGTCGTGCTTCCGGTTAGTGGGATGTGATCTGCCCGTAGGTAGCGGTTCGCCTAAATATGGCATGGTGAACATAAGTATAGTCGACTACAGAATGATGTTCCACTCCTCAGAAGCTATCAGTTGACCGGAGCGCTAAGTTGTGCCGTTTATCACGCAATTAAGCGGGTCGATTGTGAGCATTGGGAAAAAGCTATAATTTGTGAACTCAGCCCGTGTGATGCGGCACAGCCTACCACTCCAGGCAAATAATTGCCTATGAAAAGTGGAACATCATTCTGTAGCCGACTATACGTACCTTCCAGTTCCAAGGATAATTTCATTATAATTTTGTGCATGCATAAAGGATAATTTGCCAAAGCGCTATTCAAGTAATGTAATGCTTCATATGGCTTAAATTGATGATGATCTTCAAAATGCTGATGACTTCAGAACGAAAAATAAAACACGACAACTGGCACTGTGGCCACTTGGAATTAAAGGCTGTCGTTTTCGTGCGGTCTATCGCCCTCCGCCGTTAGTTAGGTATCTAGCTGCATAGGCGGCGGAACGGGGAGGGCACCGGGGCACCGTGCCCCCCTTTGATTTTGGCATTTTAACATTAGCCCTATGGGCGTTGCATGGAAAGAATCGGACCAAAAGTCGGCGGTGCCCCCCCTTAATTGAAGGTGTTCCGCCACTACTGTCTAGCTGCACGTCTAAAGTCCATGGAGCTAATATTTAAAGATTGAGCGGATGTGTAAGTGAGGAACGCCGCAAGCACTCACCGTTGGGCACGATCCAGCCGTGTATGCGGTTCTCGCGCTTTTTGGCCAGGAGGCGCTTCTTGAAGCAGAAGTAGATGAAGATGGCGATGATGAGCAGCACGAGGATGGAGCCGACCGTCAGCGCCACGCGCGGCCTGTTGAACGCGCACCGTATGCTTGTTTAGTATTTATCTATTTAGAAGTACAACAGCAGCATCCCCACATCATGCACATTGCACATTTCACATTGCGCATACGTTTCGGCTTTTTAGCAGTTGAAGTGATGATGAATATGACACGAATATAGGTAGGTACATACATGTTGCCGTTAGCCAAGGCTGTCCGGAGCAAGAACGCATCGACCTCAGAGAAAAAGCCAATCATAGGCAGTAGGCACTCAGCTGCATGTCCTAATGACAATGAGACGAAATTTTACTCAGATTGGCTAACAGCTCACTCGTTTCGATTTTATGAAGCGGTTGACTAAGGTACATAGAGACCTCATATTATTATGAGCGAGCACTATCTCGATCCGTTATTTACCTCGTTATAGAAATATGAATATAAAGAATCCGTAAATATGTACCGCTTAGAACATTTCTTTCTTATGCGAGGATATAATATGCAACCCGTACCTATAACATTATGGAAATAGACGTCAATCCTTCACGCTTGAGTAGTGGGAGGGCTTAAATCTCCAGTTCATATTTACTTTTTTTGTGAAAAACCGCGGCGCTGGCGTCCCAAAACTAGACATTGTAGCTTATAGCACACTGCTGTTGCGTTGCACGTGTTTAATTTCAACTCAAGGTCGTTTAACCCTCGCCCTGGCAAGGGGGTTGATGCGACCCCCACCGTAAGGTTTTTCGAAGATAGCGTAAAAACGCCAATTTTGCACAGCCTAAGGGGCAAACTTTTTACATATGACCTGAAAATTTAGCGGATATTCAGACTCCCGTCGGTGCGCGGACCCCTGTCTGTGCGCGGATTAACCCTATTAGTGGCAGGGGGGGGGGGTTGTTTTTATCCACCCCTCAGGTTTTTCGGGAATATCTCCGAAACCGCTGAAGCTACGATGCTGAAACTTTCTGACTTTTCCTAAAACTAAATTGGGCTTATTCCCTGAAAATTTCAAGTTCATAACTTTACCAGGGGCGGCTCCAGAGCACTGGGAATTGGGGGTCCTATTCGTGAAGCGAGTCATTTGGGCGAAGATCACGATGCTGCACCAGTTTTACGAACAGTGAATGAAAGGTATCATGTGATAACATATACAAAGTTATTGTGCATCCTCTTTTGACACGTTTTTGCTATAATAGGCGGATCCAGGCGTCCAAAAAGGGGGGTTATGTTTTACCTCCCAACATAGGTGCCCTGACACCGCCTATGCATGACCAATACAATTGTAGTCGTTCTCTCATAAGAAAATTGTAACATAACAAGACCATTACCACCCTTTTTAGAAACAGTACCAACAAAAACCTTATTTACTATACTTTTTGTGTACCCCCAATCTCAATGATCTGTATCCGCCTATGATTTTTGAAAATGCATATTTTTAGGATCCATGTGAATTCCTGGTTCATTCTCTATCGATCGGCAAAAGTTGCGTTAGGATTGGTTCAGAAACCTGGCCGTGATAAACAGTCTAAAATGTATCTGCAATTTGCCCGTTTTTACCCCCCTCTACCCCCCCCCCCCTGTTGACATTTTTTAATTCTTATTTTTTAGAAATGTAGATCACGTTGAGCGAAATCGAATGCCGTTTGAATTTTGAAAATCGGCCCGTTAGATCTCGAGATATCAAGGGGGGGTCGTAAACAGCCCCCCCTGCCACTAATAGGGGTATACCAGGAGCCTGCCACTAATAGGGTTAAAGGGACCCTCCCACCTTCAAAAAAGTTAATGAATTGGCATGAAAGTGATGTCGCTCGGTTCAGAAAGAGCAAAAATGAATATCTACCAAATTTCATCGAAAAATATTCACCGGTTTTCAAGATATTAGACTTTTACTTTTGTTTACTTTTTGGGATTTCCGCTGTTCCTAGCGACTTTATTTGAAAGTGCGGCATTTATTGCGCGCAAAGCAGCATATACCACCGCGTGCTGCCAAACGTTTTAGTAAAAGATTTAAAAATCGTTAGATCTCCGCTGACGTCACAAATTCTAAGGGGGCATACCAATGCATTAGCCCCTTAGAATCCGAAAACTGCAAGTTTGAAATTCCATATCTCCGAATCAAAGCATTTTTCGATGTTGTGAATGCCCAAACCGGTATTTTCAGGCCATGGCCACCAATTTGGCTATCTCAACTCAAAACTAATGTTAAGGTGGGAGGGTCCCTTTAAGTGTTGCGGAGATCACTGATACTTATCGATGGTCTTGAGATGTCTGTCCTCCCCCCTCCACTTTGAATTCCACTAGAAGACTAGAAGTTTTTACTCGCCTGGTAGACGTGACTTAGTGACTAAATAAGTAGGTTCGTGGCGCCGTGTCTCACTCTCTGCTCAGCCTATGGCTGTGACTGTGCCTTACTCTGTGACCATGTGATCGTGACCGTAACGAACCGTGCTAGGTGCCTGCTCTTTCGCCCGTTATTACTCACACCATGAACCTGCGGTGGAAGCGGCGCCCCGCGTGCAGGCGGCCGCACTGCGGGCTCGGGTCGTTGCCGTTGGCCACGCCGCGCTCGAACTCTGCCTTGTTGCAGCAGAAGGCCCAGTCGCGCGACGGCCGACAGCAGTAGGCGCCGCCCACCACCGGCGAGGAGGCCGTGCCGTTCTCCACCTCGTGAAACTGGGAGCAGAGGAACACCTGCGGCCCCAGCTGCTCGTCCCGGTAGCAGCAGTGGTTCACAGCCGCGTGCAGGGTCTGGCCGCGCCTCCGGCCCCGGCGCCCGCCGCGATCGGCGGACATCGCCGGCACGCCTCCACTCGGGTCCGGTCCGCCGTCCGGTCCGGTCCGGGGTCTGTCCGGCCGGTCCGGGGAGCCACGGGCGCGACCAGCAGCGGCTGCTGACCGGCTGCCTAGCGCCGCGTCCAGTACCACGGCGCTGTGTATTCACGCATGATCACACGGCTGGAGAGACGGCTGTAGTTAGGTCACACGGCTGGGGAGACGGCTGTAGCTAGGTGGTCATATAACGGGGCTGAGTCCGCAGCCTTCCGCTGGTGGCTGGCCGTCCTCAATCGGCCGTCCTCCGGCGCGGCGCGGGCGACCGGCGACCCCGTTTCGGCGCGGGCCGCTACGGTCCCAGTCCACGGTCACAGTGTGAGAGCGACTGGCTGGGCCTCCGGCGGCCGGCCGGTCGGTTGGTCGGCCGGCCCAGCCACTGTCACGGCAACAGGGTAAACAGCCGGCGCGCTGCCGCCGTATTGACCGGGCGCCCCTTTTGAGGCACAGACGCTGGGACAGGGGCCAGCCGGGATCCACTGCTCGCAAGGCCACCGCTCACCGCCTAGCACGTGCACCTCGCATTCTAGCGCGATCATTTGTCCTAATTTTTATAGCGTTCCTCGAGCTCGACATATTTGCCAATCTTCATTTTGCTAGGGTAGTCTCGCCGGCATTACACCTCACCTCGGGGTTCTGCATCATCTGACAGCATCTGGGGTCCTTCAGAAGGTGGCGCAGCCGCCCTCGCGCTCGGCTCCTAATTTTCAGGGCTCATTATTTGCATGGTTGTTCATGAACAGTTTGTGAGTAACGTTCGTTCCCTCTTCGAGAAAACATCAAACGACATACTACGAATTTTGCGACATACTTGCGAATTTTGATCTACGAATTTTGCGACCGATACCCCTCGAACCCGATTACGACTCGCTGACGAAGTTTTGTAATACAATTCGAAAGCTCCGACCCGAACGATTTCTTGTGGAGTAAAGTCCTTATTCACTTACCTATTAAACGACATACTGTTCCCCAAGAGAGGAAATCTGATTCTTAGGCCTGATGCTGTTTTGTGACATCTTGTCAGGGCAACGACGAAAAAATCGCGTTTTTGCTTACGATTAATAAATAGCTTCGAAAGAAACGGTCACAAAGAAAGCATAATCGTTCTAACACATTTACCTTGTCAAGATGCGTCGGATGATAAAATTCAGCTGAGAGAAAGTCAAGATCTGCATAAAACTAGAAACCCTGGGCCTCAGATGGTGTTAAGCATTGAAGTTAATACGCAGCCGATCATTTGTGACACATTCGTAAATGTTGATTCTGAATCTGGCATCCATTTTGATCTAGACAACTATCTACTGGTCGGTCAAAATGAGGAAATTAGCGTGTTTATTGGGTACACAAGCAGTGTCTGTCGACAATAATTACATTCCCGAGGGGGGTCACGGGTAGTCGACAACCGATGTTGTTTATCACATGATAAATAGGTGTCAACGAAGAATATAAACTCTTACTCATCTCACCGAAACAGCAGCACATATACCGACATCATCACTGTAGCAATAACATACATATAAGCCGACATCCTCACTGTAACAATAAAATACTGCTGACAGCCTCACTGTATCAATAAAATACTGTTGACAGCCTCACTGTAACAAAAACATACTGTTAACAATTAACATCCTCACTGTAACAATAACATGCTGGCGACAGCGAGAATATTGTGACAACGCATTGCAAACTTTCACACCGCAACAACTCCTTGACAAAAACATGTCACGGCACACTCTCGGCATCTAACTGTGGCACTGGCCATAGCATACTGCCGACATTCTCAGCGTGACCCTACTACACGACCCACTTCCGTCAAATTCCAGAACAGATCCAGAACAGAGCAAATAATGATAAAATCGACCCCGACCTGTTGGCATGGTAACCTTGTCCCAACATAAAATAATGGTAATTTGGTCGATTTTCTGCTAAAATTGACATGCTCATTTTGAATTCGTGACCCCAAAAAATCGTTTGCCTTCGTTATTTTGGGCACAGATGGAATCAGAATAGACCAAATAATGGGAAAATTGACCCCAACTTGTTGGCATGGTAACCTTGTTCCAAAATTAAATAGTATTAATTTGGCCGATTTTTCGCTAAAATTGGCATTTTCAATTTGAATTCGCGACCCCTAGAAATGGTTTGATTTCGGTATTTTTGGCACAGATGGAATCAGAATAGACCAAATAATGGGAAAATCCACCCCCACCTAAAATTTGAAAAATTGACCCAAAAATGGGTACCCCTAGTGGCCATAGCATACTGCCGACATTCTCAGCGTGACCCTACTACACGACCCACTTCCGTCAAACGCAGGCACACCTCAGCTCCGGGGCCGAGATCGCATTTCACTTCCGTTAGCCGCGATCACATTTTCCTGTGTTTTTATTACAGGGCCGGGTCACAATCACAGTCCCTTCAGTCGTCACGGTCCGTCAGTCAGAGTCCGCCACAGGCCAATCACAGTCAGTTAAAGTCCGTCACAGAGCCCGTCACAGTCCACCAGTCCGTCAGGGGTTGGTCTATCACAATGTGTCACAGTGCCAGTTCGTCACAGGGCCGGGCCGCGTGGCCGCAGCATGGTCGGCCGTCGTCACCTGTGACGGCGCCGCACGGAGGCGCCTCCCAGCGCACCCACATCGTCTCGTACGAATCCGAGAGGTGGGCGAGGCGCGCCGCGTGAGCCAGCCGCAGTCCGTGGGTGCGCAGAGCGGTGAGCGTGCGCAGCGCCCGCCGCTGCTCGGCCGCCGGCGCTGCCTCGCCCAGCGGCAGCGGCACGCTGAGCTGGAGCACCCTGTCGAGCGCGGCGCCGGCGGCCGACAGCTGCTGCTCCAGCACCGCGCCGGCCGCCGTGCCGTCCGAGAGGCGCAGGTAGTGGACGGGCCGCTGCCCGTGTCCCAGCAGCGCCGTCACCTGCTCTAATGTCATGAGCGGCAGCCGGCGGCCGTCGGCGGCGCGCCGGTGGCCGTCGGCGGCCGCCAGCTCCACCTGGTGCTGGCTGACGTTGGCCGGCAGCCGGTCGGCCGGCAGCAGCGTGCCGCCCAGCAGGTGCACCTCGCAGCCGGGCCAGCGCGCCAGCTCGTCCTCCAGCGTCCGGCGGGCGCTGGGCGCGGCCGAGTACACCAGGCACGGGCCGCGCGGTGGCAGCAGGTCCTGGTCGCGGCAGAGCGGCGGCTCGAGCAGCTGCAGCCGGCCGCAGTGGGTCGACAGGCCGGCCTCGGACAGCGCGTCGGCCAGGCCGCTGCGCACTTCCGACTGCGGCAGCCGCTCCACGAGCGCCGCCGCGCGCCACGGCGTGCACGGCTGGCACGGCGCCGCCACCTCCCTGGCAGACAGACAGGCGTACTCGTCAGCCGTCATCTCTCCCGTCGGCCGTACCAGTACCCGTTCAGAATCATCCCACAAAATCAGGGTTCTGGGTTATCGGAATCAGGGTTATACCGTTACAATCAGGGTTTAGCCTATTTAGGTACCTACCTATATATTATAAGAGCATTGAGTAAGTATGTACTAACCTGGATGAGTATAACGGGGATATGCACATTGAACAGTGCACACGAAAAGACACGGTAACCAAGTAAGCACTCAATTATTATGTATTTCAAATATGATCATGTTGTCAAGAGCAAGTAGGTCGGTTCGGAATAATTCAGACTATACCCTACGAGGTCAGCACTGAGTGGACAGCGTGGCTCGGTAGCTGCTGTGAGCAGCTGTAGATGTGAGTGGACAGCGTGGCTCGGTAGCTGTTGTGAGCAGCTGTAGGTGTGAGTGGTTCGGTAGCTGTGAGCAGCTGTAGATGTAAGTGACTCGGTAGCTGTGAGCAGCTGTAGATGTGAGTGGCTCGGTAGCTGTGAGCAGCTGTGGATGTGAGTGGCTCGGTAGCTGTGAGTGGTTCGGTAGCTGTGAGCAGGTGTAGCTGTGAGTGGCTCGGTAGCTGTGAGCAGCTGTAGCTGTTAGTGTCTCGGTAGTTGTTAGCAGCTGTAGATGTGAGTGTCTCGGTAGCTGTTAGCAGCTGTAGATGTATGTGAGTGTCTCGGTAGCTGTGAGCAGCTGTACATAGATGTGAGTAGCTCGGTAGCCGTGAGCAGCTGTACATAGATGTGAGTGGTTCGGTAGCTGTGAGCAGCTGTAGACGTAAGTGACTCGGTAGCTGTGAGCAGCTGTAGCTGTGAGTGGCTCGGTAGCTGTGAGCAGGTGTAGCTGTGAGTGGTTCGGTAGCTGTGAGCAGGCGTACCTAGATGTGAGTGGTTCGGTAGCTCTGTGATCATCTGCCGGTACACCTACCGTCCCTCGGCGGGCCGTCCGAGCGTCGCGTCCAGAGCCCACTCTGCGCGCCGGTGGTACACCGAGACCAGCAGCAGGCTCATCAGCGACACCAGCAGCAGCGCCGAGCGCTGCCGGGCCGCCTTCCGATAGGCCCACCACAGCGGCGGCACCACCATCTGCCGGCACAGCCAGCGCCGGCATTATAGAAGGGGCGGCACAGCCAGCGGCGGCATTACAGAAGGGGCGGCACAGCAGGGGAGCCAGGGGCGGCATTATAGAAGGGGCGGCACAGCCAGCGGCGACATTATAGAAGGGGCGGCACAGCAGGGGCGGCATTATAGAAGGGGCGGCACAGGAGGGAAGCCAGGGGCGGCATTACAGAAGGGGCGGCACAGGAGGGAAGCCAGGGGCGGCATTATAGAAGAGGCGGCACAGCAGGGGAGCCAGGGGCGGCATTATAGAAGGGACGGCACAGCAGGGGAGCCAGGGGCGGCATTATATGTAGAAGGGGCGGCACAGCAGGGGCGGTATTATAGAAGGGGCGGCACAGGACGGGCGCCGCAGGGAGTGGAGAACAGGGAGTATAGCGGCACCGATGAGGGTCGCGCCATGTTATAACTCGCCCGAAAGGCTGATTTTTAATATTTTTTTTTAGAATGGAGATGCTATTGCTGAGCATATTTATTAGTATGTATATAAGAACTATTTTTAAATGTAGCCTGATGCTCATTACGGAGCGAGCGAAGCGAGCGGAGTCTTACGTAGAATAACGGAAATTTCTATGAGCGGGCGGCCGGCCGGCCAGCTGTGGTCACGATTCTGCGACGCTTATATCTCGCAACCACTTGACCGATTTACATGCGGTAATTTTTGTAGGGTAGCTTCATTCCTTCTACCAAGTATTGGACTATTCCCGATGCATGTGGGTGACCCATTATGCACTAGTATGCATTAATGTGCATTATGCACATTATGCACATTCGGCACGTGCCACGTGCAAAACGAAGAGGTGTCACTTTTGTAATAGTTGCAATATCTCGGTAACTACTGGGCCGATTGCGCTGAATAGGCACCCACTAGGCAATGCATATCCATGTGCCAGAGTTGGGGTGCTGCTGCACGTGCGCACGTGCAGC